GGGGTCACACGTCACTCTACGGGGCAGTGTTTCGCGAAGGAGCGCTCACTGGCCACGCAGCCATGAGGGGTCTCCCGGAAGCCACGGGCCGCCGGGTCGACTCGGTACAACCGAGCATACTCCCCGCAGCCTCCCAAGGGCAGGGTCGTTTTGCGCAGGCGCCCTGGGAATCACACCGAGCCCTGGGGGCGGGGCTTCGTGGAGAGCGCTCATTGGCTAGGCAGCCATGGGGCGGGGCCTCCAGGAGCTCAAGGCAGAGCCGGCTGAGCGAGACGGGGACTAGCCAGGGGCCCCGCAGAATCACGGGGGAGGGGACGATGGGGGAATGTCGCGGGCGCTCCGGGAGCCCGAGTTGCATTGCGTGCGAAGGCGCTGAGCTTTGTGAGGAAGCGCTCATTGGCTAGGCAGCCAGGGGGGTCCCCCAGGGCCCAAGGGCGGAAAGGCCGACTGGGCAGGAAGCGACCACATGCCCGGCGGCCTCACTAGGAGCCTGTTTGCGCAGGAGCCCTAAGGTCGCCTTGGAGGGCGGGGTTCCCGAGAGGCGGGTCGAGGCGGCCATGCAGGCGGCAGGAGCGGACGCAGGCGCGGGCGGCGGGGCGGGAGGCGTGGACAACGGCCGGGACGGCCATGACTGCCTTGGTGGCCGCGGCGGCCCCGGCTTTCCCGGTAGCGCGGGGGCGGCCTGTCTCGCGCCCACGGCACGTGCCGGGGCCAGGCGGAGACGCTGCTTCCAAGATTCCAAGGCTGGAAAGCCGAATACACGTATTGTATCCTACGCGAACGGACGGCGGGGGGGTAGGGGGGCCTGGGCCGGGGGCTGGCTGTGGGCGCCAGGGGCTGCAGAGGGACGGAAGGGTCGGGGCAGCCTGGGGGCGGACAGGGAGAGGGGCAGCGGTAACCGCGGGCGGCTGGGGGTGTCCGGCCCGGGGCTGGTGTGGAGGGAAAGAAACCAGCCCAGAGGGGAGCCGGGGGTGCCGGCGGAGGGGGGCGCGGCAAAGAGATGCGAGCGGGGTGCGGACGGGGTGGCTTAAGAGGGATGGGTCGGGGGCGGAAGGAGGGAGAGCAGGGCCATGACCCAACGGGGGCGGGGTGGGCCAGGCTTGGCGTCACGGGGCGGGGGACGGGGAGGTTGAGAAATGAGAGCGGAGCTTAGGTCTCGGGGTGACTGGGCGTGATTAGGGCCGGGAGGGGGTGGGAGCTGTCCCGAAGGGGACGGAGCCAGTCAGGGTGGCCTGGGAAGCGGGGCCCAGGCACAAAGTCGTTTGGATGGTGCCTTAAGCGAATCTCCTCCAGTGCCCTCTGCGTGCCTTTCCCGTCCGGCTTGGAGGCGGAGATCGCCTATGGGTCCCTGGCCCCAGATGCCGAACCCCACGGAGGGGCTGTTGAGAAGCAGCTCACAGTGAGTGGCAGCGTCATGGCCGTGTAAGTTCTGGAAGGGGCCGGCTGGGAGTGGCAGCAGGTGGCAGGCCCGGTCTCCACTCTGCTGGGCGCTCTGCCGGACACACAGATCCTCCATAAAGGGTTACTTCCAGGGCCCGGCCAGGGCGGGGTGGGGGGGGTTGCAGTCTCCCTGCAGCCTGGACTGGGGTACAGGGAGGGGGGCGTTCATGGGGATGTCAGGGTTCGTGTACTGGATTTGGGGGGGCGGCAGAGCAAGGAAGGGGAGAAGCTTCCACCTCCAGTTTGGTTGTCTTTTCTGCTCCCTTTCAGCCGCTGGAGAGCTAAAGATCCTCGCCTCCTCCGAATTTCCATCATGACCTTTCTTGATCAGCTTTCCCTGGTGATGCAGACCATGCGGCGCTTTGGGCCCCCCGTTTCCCGCTAAGCCTGGGCTGGGGAGAGGGGGCTAAGGCCTAACCTCTTGTCCCTTCCCAAGGCACTGCGTCCTTCCCTGGGGCAGTCATCCCTGTAGTAGTAGCTGCAACGGTGTTAGGGGGGCCTGATCTTCTGGTGTTAGGGGGGCCTGAGCTTCTGGTGTTAGGGGGGCCTGAGCTTCTGGTGTTAGGGGGACCTGATCTTCTGCCGCTGCTGGCCCTAGGGCACTCAGGGTCCATTTGTTTTGTTTGCTGCTTAAATGTTTGTTACTGCAGAAAATAAAACTGAGCTTTGCTATTCCGTGTCTAAGTTTCTTTTCCACTGTGGCACCACCTCCGGATAGTCTTCCCTTTGTCCTCTGGTAGCAGGGGAGGTTCTGGGATGCGGGTACTTGCGGAGGGAAAGGTGACTGAAGACAGGTTAGGAAATGGAAGAACGCAGGTTCTGTCCTTCACTATCAGCGGCTCTCCACACGTTGGAATGTGTCCTCAGTTTTATCCTTGTGTTTATATGCTAAATGGATAACAAAATAAGAGGTAATATTTTGCATGTTTCGCATGTCTCCTGATATTTTCCCCCATCGAATGTGAACTTTTCCTCTTTAAAAACATTCTCAAATGGATGCATGAAAGATGCATTATGATGTAATTTACTGAACATTTAAATTCTCTTCAACTTTGCCAGATTAGAGGTAGTGATTCAGCGGAACTCTTGCGTATAAATCTTTGCATCAATGATGTTTCCTTACAATAAGTTAAAAGAGGTAGAATTTACTTGGTTAAATATTTACTATTTTTTTATTTTTTCTATAGATTTTATTTGTCAAAGAGCACAAGCAGGAGGAGAGGCAGGTAGAGGGAGAAGCTCCCCACTGAGCAAGGAGCCCGATGCAGGACTCGATCCCAGGGCCCTGGGATCATGACCTGAGCCAAAGGCAGACGCTTAACTAACTGAGCCACCCTGGCGTCCCTATTTACTTTTTTTTTTTAAGACGTTATTTATTTAAGAGAGCACAAGTGAGGGAGATAGGCCAAAGGAGAGCGCCCAAATATTTACTATTTTTCTAAAGATTATTATTTTTTAAAAAATAAATATTTTTATTAGAGAGAGAGACAAAATCTCAAGCAGACTCCCTGCTGAACATGGAGCCCAACTCAGGGCTCCACCCCACAACCTTGAGTTCATGCCCCAGGCCGAAATCAATAGTCAGATGCTTAACCGACTAAGCCACTCAGGAGCCCTACTGTTCTTTAAAACTCTCACTCAAGAGTGCAAAATTAGGGACACCTGGGTGGCTCAGTTGGTTGAGTCTTCGGTTCAGATCATGATCCCAGAGTCTTGGGATCGAGTCTGCATCGGGCTCCTTGCTCAGCGGGGAGCCTGCTTCTCCCTCTGCCCACCGCTCCCCCTGCTGTGTGCTCTCCCGCGCTCGCTCGCTCTCTGACAAATAAATAAAATCTTTAAAAAAGGTGCAAAATTACTCTCCAGAATATGAGCCCTCTTGTCACCACTGGCTCTCTGACAGATTTTTTAAAGATTTTATTTATTTGACAGAGAGACAGCGAGAGAGGGAACACAAGCAGGGGGAGCGGGAGAGGGAGAAGCAGGCTTCCTACAGAGCAGAGAGCCCGATGTGGGGCTCGATGCCAGGACCTTGGGATCATGACCTGAGCCGAAGGCAGACGCTCAACGACTGAGCCACCCAGGCGCCCCCGATACCTGCTTTCTTTCCAGTGTGTGTTTCATCTATTCTGTCTGGTTTGGGGGGTTCTTTCAAGTAAGTGGTAGGATAAATCTGTTCCCTGTTACTCCATATGCATGAACAGAAAGTCTGCCATTGCAGCACGTGGAGACTGCTCATGGTGCGCGCTGTGGGGAGAGAGACACTGTCACTGGGGATGGTGGTGGCGGTCGGGATGACGATGACAATGAAGACTCGCCTGACAGGCAGCAGCTGTAGTGGCTACAGCAAGGGTCTATTTCTTCCTTTTTAAAAATCACTTTTTTTTAAAGATTTTATTTTAGAGAAAGAGAATGCACGCACAAGTACGGGAGAGCAGAGGGAGAGGGAGAATCTCAAGCAGACTCTGCACTGATCGCGGGGCCCAACGTGGTGCTTGATCTCTGGATCCGGAGATCAAACCTGAGCCGAAACCAAGCATCGGACGCTCAACTGACTGAGCCACCCAGGCGCCCCGACAAATGCATAGTTTTGTAACCACCACCACAGTCCACCGCCTTGGCCCCACAGATGGACTGCTGAAGCTGCTGGGCGGCGCTAACACCCAAGTCAGGTCACAAAACTCCTCTATCCCAAACCCTCCCTGGGCTCCCCTCTCACTCAGAGACAAAGACAGAGCCCTTTACAGTGGCCACAAAGTCGGATGTGACTCGGGCACCCCCGCCTCCACCCCACCCCCCCCCCCCCGCCATCTTCTCTGGCCTCCTCCCCTCTCCTCTCCACCTTGCTCCCTCCGATCCAGCCACACTGGCCTCCTCCCCTCTCTGAAACACGCCAGGCCCACACCTGCCTCAGGGCCCTTGCACTGGCTCTTTCCGGTCTGGAACTCTCTTCCCCCCGCGTTCCAGCTGGCTCACTCAAATATCATTCCTGGCCACTCTATTTGAAATTGCATCCCGCTTCCTCCCCACCTGCATGACTCTAACAGGTGTGTGTGTGTGTGTTTTCGGGGGTGGGGGGTGGGGGTGGGGGTGGGTAAGAAGTAGGTGGGTGCATCAGGACGGAGATGCAGCTGGGGCAGTAAAGAGTGGTCAGATAGGAAGGCGTTTGGGTGCTATGATGACACTGGGGAGCTCTGCCCAGAGTGGGACAAGATCCACCCTTCAGCTTCTCAGGTTCCCAGTGCCTGCTGCTTGAGCATAGGATGAGGGCAGGCGGGACAGGAGCGGGGAGACTGGCATCCCGGCAGGAGCCGGGGGTAGCTGGGACCGGGCTGGGGGCAGTGGAGGTGGGGAGAAGGGAGCAGATTGGATGGTATCTTGAAGGTGGAGCCACCAGGGTTGGCTGGTGATGGACTGGACGTGGCCCCGGCCCTCCTCAGATCCTCAGGACCCCTGCAATGAGTTACCCTCCCTCCCGCCCCTCCAGAGTCCGACAGCCTCCCCACCTGCTTCCCTGCTCGCCGACCACCCACCTGCCCCAAGGACAGAGCCACACCCCGACTCCGCTTTCCCAACGTTTAATGAGGAAAAAAGATGACATCAACAACAGCAACAACAACAAAAAGCTCATGCCCAAAAGGGGGAGAGAACTGGGTTTTCGGGACCCCGAGACGGGGCCAGATCCCTCAGAGGAGGAAGAAGAAGAACCAAGGAGTAAGGCACGGCCGCCTCGGCCAGGCCACTCGGGGCAGGCGCAGGGCAGGGCAGCTGAGGGGCGAGGGGTCCGGGGCCAAGTGCAGACAACACTGAGGAAGTTTGGCAGTAGGGCCGGGAGAAGGAGAGTTCCAGAGTCCCCAGGCCCAGCTCAGGCCCCGGCCCAAGCCTGGCTATAGGCGTCCAGATGCTCAGGCCAGGGCCCTGGGAGAAGGTATACAGTCCGACTCCCGAGACGGTCGGAGGGGATGCCGTGGCCCAGCTGCGGGGAGACCCCTGGGCACAGCCACAGCCCGAGGGCGGCTTCGGGGGCGTCGCCCTCCCTCCACTCACCCGCACCCCCGAGTGCTGGGTGCCAACACCCCTGCTCGGGAGGGGCGGGGCCAGCCATGGCGGGGGGGGGGGGGGGGAGCGGGGCGAGGGGGAGGTGCCAGAGGCTAGGCCAAGGCTGCGGGTGTCACAGAGGAGCCAGGACGACTCAAGGAGAGAAGGTGCGCGAGGTCGACAGCATCCCGGAGAAGGGACACACAGTTACGGATGGAGATGGCGAGGTGGAGATAAATTAAATAAATAGGTGCTTGGGGGTATAAATAGCAAGGAGGGCAGGGGGGCAGGGGGTAGGAGGGCAGGGGGGCGGGAGGGAGGGCAGGAGGGCAGGGGTATTGCTGCTGCCGGGGTCAGGGGCTTGGTCCTGTCACCCCTGCCCCCACGCAGGGCCCAGAGGAAGGCACTAATGAATGGGGCCCAGGTGTGCCGGGGGGCATATCGGCCCGGTGACCCCCCCGGCCCCCGCCCCCCTGCCCCCCGGATCCGGGGCTCAGCCCAGAGGACAGCTCAGGACTGAGACGCCCCCTCCTCCTCACCGGTTCCGCCACCCTTAGGGGTTGCTGGACACGAGGCTGATGATCTGTTCCAGTTTCTGTCGCAACTTATGCTTCCGACAAGAGGCATCTCGCTCCAGAGCGCTGAGAACCTGGGGGAGGAGGGTCCCCCCCGCGCTGGGCTGGCGAGGAGGGGCCGGTGCCTTCGGGGCAAAGCCCTCCTCCCCAGCTTGAGCTCTGCCCTCCCTCGCGCCTCGGCGCACCCCTTCCTCTCTGGCCGCCCCCCCCCCAGCCCCGTGACCGTCAGCAGCCCCCGGCGGGGGCGCATCACTCCCTCCTCCCTGACCACCCCTCCCGGGTGCGTGCGTGCGTGCGCGCGTGGGCACGGCTCATTCCCGTACCGGGAGGTCACCGTGCACCTGCACTCTCGGGGTCCCTCCCAGAGCCCTGGCCGCCCCTCTTCAGTCTCCGCTGCCGGCTCCCTCTCTCCTCTGCCACCTCCGAGTGTCCCAGGGCCCCAGGGCTCGGTGCGTGGGCCGCCGCTCTCGGCCGCCCTTGGTGAGCTCGTGCAGGCTCAGGGCTTTCGGGGCCGTGTCCTGGCTCACGGGTTCTTATTTCCAGCAATAATACATCCTCAAGTCCATACCTCCGTGTTCCCAACCTCCTGAGGCTGGAGTCACAAATGCCATGGGCCCTATAAGGCACTAGCCCTGCCTACCTTCTGGCCTCACCCCTCTGGGCCCCACCCCCCCAATCTCCCCCAGCCCATCCCTTCCCTGGGCATTTACTTTTGCCCAACCAGAACTTTGTTCTCTGGCCCGTGGCTTCTCTCCTAGGTCCCTCAAATCCCAATCTCAAGAGATAGGCCCTATGCCTCCTCTGTCCCCTCTGGCACCCTGGAGCACCCTTCGCCCTCATGGAGCCCCCTGCCTTTGCCACCGAGTGCATGGTCAGGGCCTAACAACTGGGGGCCTGTGGGACTGGCACGCACCTCCTGGCGGTACTTGGTGACGTAGAAGTAGAGCTCACTGAGCGCGCTTAAGATGTTGAAGTCACTGGCATGGAGACGGGACTGCTCTACCAGGTAGGCATCCATGTCCTGGTCGCTAATGGACGCCATCTTTGCAATGTCCCGGTAGTACCTGTTGGAACTCTGAGTCGGTCATAAAGGCAGGTGCCACCAAAACCCCTGCCCCGGCTCTCAGGCCATTCTCTGGGCCTTTTTCCTGAAGCTGACACGGCCAGGGTGGGCGGGGGGACGGGGTGGAGGAAAGCAGGCTCCCTGGGCTGCACACCTGGCTTCCCGCCCCCCAACCCAGCGTGGGGCAGCAGGGCAGGGCCCACCTCTCCACCCAGCTCTTGTAGTTGGGGATGTCCTTGGCATAGAGCAGCTTGTTGGACGGCGAGTCCTTGCCCAGGCGATGCTCAGACGTGGAGCAGGAGTCCATGAAAGTCTGGGCCACCACTGACAGGCAGGCGTCCGTGATGCTGCTCTTGTGAATGTCGAACACGAACTGTGGGTTCTTGATCACGTTCACCCAGAAGCGCAGGGGCAGACTGAGCAGAGGAACGGGCACCTGAGGCTCCCCCCTGCTCCCTTCTCTGCTCCCCGTCCGGCCTGTGCACATCTCGCCCAAAGACAGCCGGGGTGACATACTGAGCTTAATGGTATTTTCTTTAACTTTCTGCCAGCCTTCATGTAGTGAGAAATACGAGTCCTCACCGCATCGGTGCTGCATGGCGGCCCCGCGACCAGCGTCCCACACGCCCAGCAGAGCCCATGTCCGGACACACACTCGCCCCCAGCCCCCCCCACTCGGTGGCCATGGTGCAGCCCCCATCCGTTGCCCTCCCCGCGCGGCCCCCTCCGTGCACCCGGCCCCAGCACCAGGCGGTACCAGTTGCTCTTCCAGGTGTGGCGTACGTCAGGGTCACTGATCTGGCGCTGGTCGGCCTGTTCGTCCAGGAAGTCGAACATGTACTTGATGGCCAGGGGCAGGGCTGATCCCCGGTGGGCCGTGCTGAACACAGTCTCAAAGAGGTCGTCCACGAACTTCTGCAGCGTGCCCTGTGGGGGCTCGGCAAGAGCACAGGCCGTGAGGGGGCCAGGCCGGGACGGCCCCGCAGCACAACAGGGGGCCGGGGCGTAGGCAGTGGGCAGGGCTTCCCCGCAGGGCCCTCGCCCAAGACAGGCCCAGCGTCCGCCTCAGCCCCAGGCTGGGAGTTCCTGGAGCAAAGGCCTTGAGAAAGGCCCGCTAGACGTGAACGATCCCGCGGCCTCCCCCCAGGGCAGGCCAGGCCCACCGCAGGGCCAAGGCCAGGCCCACCGCAGGGCCAAGGCCAGGCTAGAAGTTGTCTGTGCCGAGGCCGGAGTGGCTCAGGGCAGCCACACACCTTGGTGGCCAGCAGTCGCGTCAGGTAGATCTCTGAGACCATCTTGCTGCCACGGTCCCCCTCACGGTGGTCGGCGTGGTCGTGGTTCTTCACCAGGTGCCACAGCTTGGTGCCAGTTTCCTGGTCGGGCGTGATCATGGGTGCCCGAGAACGGAGGCTGTCGGGGCTACTGGCCGTGCGCAGCAAGCTCTCTGGGGCCGAGGACAGGTATGCCCCTCAGGCCAGTGGGGCCAGGCCAGCCATCACCACGGCTCTTGCCCCACTCTGTTCCAGGAGCCCAGCAGGCGAAGGGGGGGCCCTGCCTGCTCTCACTGGCCCACCCCCACCTCTAGGAGGCCTCCCAAGGGCAAAGGCCACCACACTGAAGGCACCTACCGTAGCGGCTGAGGGAGCGAGTGAAGGTGAAGGAGTTGGCCATGTTGTAGGCGGACACTTGTTTGGGCACCAGCGCCACCAAGGAACCATCTGTCACCTGGAAACCCCGGAGGCGGAGGGCGGCAGTGCAAGAGGAGGCTGAGGAGCCAAGGGGCCGGAGCCACCGCCACCCCCGACCCTGAGGAGGGACCGGGAACGCAGGGGCAAGAGAAGGCAGAAGCCAGCGCCCCAGCTCCTGTGTCCTCAGGGCAGGGCCGTGGCTCCTCGGTGGCCCTGGGGATGACTAGGCCCCCAGCCCCTCACCTGGTAGTGGGCCAGTGAGTTGACCCTCTTCCAGTCACACTCGATCTTGGTGGTGACATCTTCATCCTGGAGGATGATGCGGGCCATGCGGCCCTGACGCCATTCTGCAGGCCACAGACAGCCCTTGAGGTCCTGCTCGGAGCCCCCCAGTCCCTGGACCCGCTCCCCTCAGAGGACAGAGCCCAAGTGGGGGTGTGAATGCCAGCCAATGTAATGTGGCCACAGGGTGGGGGCCAGGAGGAAAGGAAAGGGCAGGTCACCTAGGTCCATGTCCTCAGCTTTGGGGCGCTGGGAGTATGGGATGCCCTTGTACACAGCATCCAGCAGCTTATCTTTGGCTTGGGTGATGCTGTCACAGTTGAGAACCTTCACTGGGACCTGAGCGCTGCCCTCGCTCTCCGGGAACACACAGTGCAGGGTCTGAGGGTGAGGGCAAGGACAAGGTGGCGCCTGAGTGAGGCTTCTTCCCCTCGTGCCCAAAGCCCTGTCCACCCGGCCCCCGGCTCACCAGCGTCTTATAGTCAATCTGCTGCCGAATGAGCTTGTCCTCACTCAGGGAGTAGCGTGCCTCGCCCGTGATGGCGTCAATGGGGCCCTTCTCCATCTGCTGCTTGATGGCGCAGTAGAGCAAGAAAAGCGGCTCCCCGGCACACTCCTGCAGCCAGGGTCGGGCACATGGCTTGCCGCCTGCCGGACAGTTAGCTGCTTCTCGCCCCCCCCGCCCCCGGTCACGTCCGGCCACCCGCCTGCCGCCGCCCGCCGCCCCCCCCCCCCCCCAGCGCACCTTTAGAAACTTGTGCAGCAGGAACGTGAACCAGTTGGTAAGCATCTTCTCAGCCACCGACTCGGTCCTAGGGCATAAGGGGTGCTGGGCCAGCGGGCAGGGGGCGGCCCAGGCAGGACCTGCTCTGGCAGGGGTGGGGCTGGCAGGGGGCGGGGCTGGGGCCTCGTAGTACCTGCGCAGCAGCAGCTTCGGGTGGTTCTTGCTCTCCAGGTTTTTCTCTATGAGGTCTGCCAGCAGTTGCTTGAGCAACCCCGTGGCGTAATCGAGGCGGCTCTGCAGGACCACCATGGTGAGCGAGGCCACGGTGCCACGGTCTCGCATGGAGAAGCTACTCTGGGCCTCCAGCGTGTGGATGAAGGTGAGCACGAAGGCACGGCTGTGCAGCAGCTGCCCAAAGAGGCGCAGGGCCTTTTCGACGTTGGGGGGGGTCTGGGAGGGACAGGGAGTCTCAGAGAGTGGGGGTGGCCCCGGAGGGGATGAGGAGTGGGCAGGCAAGGCAGGGACTCACATCCAGCTCCTTGAGCACCGGATGGGCCTCAATGCCCGGGAAGAGCACGCGCACGGCGTAGGTCCGGTAGTCCAGGAACGGGATCTGCACGCCATCCATGTGATTGGTCAGCTCATTGATGTCTGTCTGCAGCTCAGCAAAGGCTGTGGAGGGGCGGGGAGGGAGAGTGAGCGGAGCAGGGAAGAGCCCACACCCGCCCCCCCCGCCCCCGCCCTGCAGCACACCCCCGGCCCAGGCACCTTCCTTGCATTCCAGAGCCACGCGGGACTCCAAGTTGTCCATCTGCAGCTGAAGCCGCTTGAGCGTGCGGTCGGCATCCTGGGTCTTGCGCTTATAGGCCACCAGCACGGCGGTGATGGCCAGCAGTAAGAGGCCACCGCCTGCCGCCAGGCCCACCACGGCCGGCAGGGTCAGCGCCCGCTCAGCCGTGATGTGCAGGGTACCCAGCCAGAACTCCAGGCCGCCCACCAGCACCTGCGGGGACAAGCCCGCCCTGAGCTCGCCGCCCCGCCCACCGCGCTCGCCCCTGGTGGCCTCCCCACCCCCCACACACCATGACAGGCTGCCGGCCCGTCTGGCTGGGCGAGTCACACAGCAGCTGCGTGTCGGAGACCGTGAGGGCGCATGGCTGGCCCCCGATCAGCACCGTGTAGTTGAGGCGGGAGCTGCCAGCCGCTGCGGGGATCAGATTCTTGCCCTGTGGGTGGAGGACACGGTCACAGCCGGGGCTCCCCACCCCCCTGCCTCTCCCCGTCCCTGTGCCCCACCCATACCTTCAGCACCACGTGGGAGCCAGGTTTGACATCCAGCACACCAGAGGGCCCAAGTGGCTCAAAGCTGGGGTCAGGGTAGTAGGTAAAGGAGGACCGGTTGAGGGAGCGGGCCGTCTGCACATGATCCAGCACGAAGCCGAACTCGTCGGGGTGTTCACCCTGGGCCTGGGGCTGGGGCCGTCCCAGGAAGATGCCGGGGGCCTTACATAGCATGGCGGTGTCGTTGATCACCTGGCACGTCTGTGGGGACAAAGGAGGGCAGCCTGGCACGTGAGGCCTCAGGGGGCAGGGGCAGGGGGTGGGGCGACGGCAGCTGGTGCGCTCACATTGGTGGTCTCGATGCCTCGGTACTTGGCCCGGACCCGGGGCTCCTGGACTGTCAGTAGGTGGGTCCCGCTCACAGTGATGGCAGTGCTTCCACTGGGGGCAGTGGGGGAGGGGCCTCAGGCTCCCTCCCCCACTGCCCCCCAGCCTGGCCCTGGAGAGCTATCCGGGCTGCTGGGGAGCCCAGGGCCTCCTGGGCCTGGGGGCACCGGGTGAATGCCAGGGGCTGTGTTGTTGGGAGGACACTGCCCCCTGTGCCTATGAGGGCTCGGGTTCACAGGATGTGTAACTTGATGCCCAAGGCTCCAGTCACCAGGCAAGGCCCCAGGCTTTGCTGGCCAGGCTCCCCATTTTTCCTAGGGTCTTACTTGATTATGCTCCAGGTGGGCTCAAGGCGAGTGACAGTGGGGTCCTGGGTGTAGGTGTAGAAGACTCCAGGACTGGAGATGTTGGCGCGGTCGATGGCCAGGGTGATGGGGGCCTGGCTGGGGCCCAGGGTCGATACGGGTGAGATACACACAATTGCCTCAGCATCTCTCCTACGTTGGCAAGCAGGGCGCTCAGGGCAGGCAGCCCAGGGCCATGATCCACGTGCCCTTGGGGCCCCCTATGCAGCGCCCAGGCTGAGGCTAACGGGGCCCTGCCCACCTCACAAACTGGCACTCGCCGTCCCTCACAGTCACAGTGACCCTGCTGCCGGCGTCCAGCGAGCTCCCGGAGATGGTGAGCCGTGTGCCCCCGGACGCCGGGCCCCGACTGGGACTCACGCGGTCAAACGCTGGCGTCTGTGCAAGAAGCAGCCTTGAGGGGAGGGAGGAGGCAGCCGGGTTGGGGCGGGGGGGGGGGCAGGCTTCGGAAGGGGTGGGAGGGGAAAGGGCGGGCAGCCCACGCACCACAAAGCTGTAGAGCTGCTCGGACTGCGTGCGGAAGTCAGCGGAACAGTCGCCCACACAGAGCTCCGCAGGCCCTGGCGGCGGGCTGGGCACCAGCGACTCCTCCATCTCACACACGATCCTAGGGGTCCGAGAAGGTCAGGGCCCGCGGCGGAGGGCCCAGGGCCCCCGCACCCGCACAGGCGCGCTCACCTCTCGGCGCTGACGTACTCAGAGGGGATGGAGTTGCAGCGCACGCCCGCGACCCGCAGGCCCACCTCTCGGTAGCTGAGGCCCAGGTTCTCGCCCACGATGGTGACGCGGGTGCCTCCCTCCTTGGGCCCCATGAGCGGGTGGATCTGCAGAGCAGGAGGAGAGGCGACAGGGTGAGCCCAGGCTCCCGTCGGGTGCCCGGCCGACCGAAAGGGGCGGGGGAGGCCCACCTGGGCAATGCGGGGGTGGCTGCAGCGGGTGCCCTTCTGGCTCGGGTGCATCCAGTTGGTCTTGGGGGCTGGGCAGTGCGCCCGCAGCTGGCACCTGTGCTCCGAGACGCACCAGCCGCAGTTGAAGCGAGGGTCAGCCTTGAGGCAGAGGCCGCAGCTGGGCCGCTGCGCCCAGCACTTATACAGGAGAGCTGCGGGCAGAGGGCACCGCTGGGGGCGGCCAGCTCACGGCAACGGTGCCCCAGGAGGCGAGCTCCTCGGCCCCACCCCGCCCCTCACCTCGGAAGGTGGCAGGCTTGTCGATGGGGAAATCCCCATCCCAGACCACCGAGAAGTCCAGCTCGGTGTCGCCGGACTCGTCGCCTTCATAGGAGTACTGGGAGAGAGGGAGCCGCGTGAGCGTGAGCCCAGAGCGCGCGCAGCCGCGCGCAGCCCCGCGCAGCCCCGCGCAGCCGCGCGCAGCCCCGGGGGCGCGCACCGAGGCGTTCTGGCACTGCACGCTGCTGCTGTTGAAGCGCACGGCCGGCACCCGCTGCTGGCGCCCCTGCACCCGGAGCACGCACTCGTAGTTCTTCTGGCCTGACTGCGGCTGCGGCAGGTTCTTGGCCCGCAGGGTAAGAGGCTGCATGACGCCCACTGGGATCAAGAGGTCCCCGCCGGGCAGGATCTCAGGGCAGCCCTGAGGGGAGAACGCCCATCAGCCGCAGGCGCTCGGCGGCGCCGCCCCGGGGCCCAGCTGGGCTAGGCCCGGACCGAGGAGGCTCCGAGAAACCCAGGCGAGCAAAGGCAGAAGCCAGAGGCCAGCCCACGGGGAGCCCGGCCCCCTCGCGCCCGGCGCCCGCCTCACCTCAGGGCTGTGGACCCTGCCCTCCTGGAAGGAGCACTCGTGGGGGTGGCCGGTACACACGTGACGGTACTTACACCAGTGGCAGGGGTAAGGGCTGCCGACGCAGGACATGCACCTGGCGGGGAGAGGCTTCAGAGGTCGCAGAGGACCGGGCCTGCCCCTCCGACCACCCTCCTACAGGCCGTGCGGGAAACGGAGGGAAGGGGGCGCCAGGGCCCGCCCGAGGCCCGCACGGCCCAGCCAGGGACGAAGAGATGCGGGACGGCGGCAGAAAGGCCAGGACTCACGACTGGAGCGCGCTGCAGTTGTACAAGACGAAGTCGACCCCGGCGAACTTCACCCCAGTCTCCCTGGAGAGCAGCTGCAGCCGCACGGTGCGCGTGGCCCCTGCAGCGAGCCCAGGGGTGGCCGTGAGCAAGCCCGGGCCGGCGAGTGCCCCCAGCCCGGAGAGCCCCAGCCCACTGACCATGCCCCCGGGTGAGAGCCCGGAGCTCCTGGAGGGAGGGCGAGGGGCAGTGCAGCTCCCCGGAGGGCAGCACGACGGCCGCGCTCTCCGTCACCTCCTCAAAGGCACAGCTCACACCAGCGCTGAGGTCGGGCGCGTTGCGCATGGCCACCGTCAGCTGGGGGAGGCAGAGGAGTCAGAAGAGGAGGTGACCCCCCGCCGCCGCCTCAGCCCGCGCACAGGCCCGCACAGCCGCACCCAGCCCGCCACTCACCTGCACAGCGGGCGAGCTCACCGAAACATTGTTGGGCCGGACCCGCACCTGGACACATTTGCTCAGTTCCTCGGCAAAGCCGTGCGGGGCTGAGGCACCCGGACAGGCCCCTTGGCGGCAGCACCTGCGTGGGATCAGGCCACAGCCCGCTACGCAGCTGCCCCTGGGCACGCCCAACCTCTGCTCCCCCTCTTTCCCCCCGGGCCTGCAGGGAAGAGGGGCCGGCCGGCCCAGCCCACAGTGCCAGGCCACAGTGTGCCTTGGCCTCGTCCCCTGCGGCCCAAGGGGCGCCCCCGGGGATAGAGGTTCTGCTCGTCGGCTGCGTGAAGTACAAGGGGACGGGGGCTGAGGCCACGAGGGCGCGGAGCAGGGCCCCCCACGGCCGCCCTCACCTGTGCTGCAGGACACACCAACCACAGTGGGGGTCCCCCGAGCCGAGGCAGGCCGCGCAGCTCACGTACTGCTCGCACGTCTCCACCGGGAGCTGGCTCACCTGGGGACGGCCGCGTCAGCACCCGCCCTGCCCCCAGCCCGCCACCCGCCGCCGCCCGCCTCGGGCCCACCTGCTTCTCACTCAGGAGGTAGATGTGCCGGTGGTCAGGGCTGAAGAGCAGGTCCCGGAGGATGGGGCTGCCATCCGCCACAGGCACGGTCTCGTACAGCTGGGCGTACTGGGAGCCATCAACCCGGACCTGGGCCCGAGACAAGCCAGCCTGATGCCACAGCCGCCCCACGCGCACGCACCACATGCTCTTACCAAGCGGAAGCCAGGGCCTGGCCGGGCTGGCGCTCAACCTGCCCGCCCCACCCCCCAGGCCGCCACAGGCAGGGGAAGGAGGGTTCAAAGGCCATCCCGGGGAGCCACTGCGGGTGCCTCACCCAGTCCAAAAGGCCTCCAAGAACGAGAGATGCAGAGATTCACGGGGTCGAGGCGGGGAGGAGATGGGGGCGGGGGGGGGGGGAGAACTCTGGGGGGAGGGCGTTTTGGGGCGATGACACCATCCCAGCACAAGAGAGTGCTGCAAACTTACTGAGAAGTACACCTGAGAGGGAGGCACGGTGTGCTTTGGGAATGATGCCTCCCCAACGCGGTTACAGATGCAAATGAGGGCCCAGGAGAGGAGCAGGCCAGGCCCCCCAAAACTCAGCAGGCTCTCTTTACAGACCTCCTGGGGGCAGCCCGTGGTGGTCATCCTGACTCCTATCCCTTCAGAGCACACTGCGGCTCCCAGGGTCCATCTCCCCCTGTCCCACTACCCCCGTCCCGGAATGGAAGCAGCCCCAGTGCCCACGAGGGGACAAGAGGGCACGAGGGAGCGGGGCGTTACACCCACATTTCTTCCTCGTTCATTCAGCAGAGGACTTGGCAGTGACGGCCCAGCCGGGGCCCTGCTCTCCTAGCAGGGAGGCCCTGAGACGGGCCTGGGCTCCGTCACACGAGCCAGCCGTTCGGGCCACAGCGGGCACTACTGTTGGTGAGGGTGGAGCGCGACCAGGTTCCTAGGGCCCAGCCTGGGAAGCCCGCCTTCCCCCAGGGGCCGTGCCCTGGCCGAGGCCTCATAGCCCCTCATCGTACCTTCTTCAGAGTGCCAGTCCGAGTGCCGACGAAGACCACAGAGTGCTGGCGGTAGGTGTAGGCGGCCACACTGGCCATGCCGTCGCTGCTGTCAGCCAGCAGGGGCAGCCCCTCGATCACATGCAGGCCCCCCAGGGGCTGGTTCAACACCAGCCCGCAGAAGTTCCCATTTATCTGCATGGGCTGGTGAAACAGGAGGGAGGCAGTGAGAGTCAGAGCTTGAGGGCACAAGACCCCATATTCTGGAAGGAAGCAGGATCTGGAACTGGCTCCCCACCAGCCAAGCCCAACCGCTGGCCTTGGGACCACCCCCACCCCCACCAGGAAGTCAGGGGCTGAGGAGGACGAGGAGGCATGAGCAGGGAGAGGAGGATGAGGCAGCAGGTGGCCCCAGGCACACCTCCAAGGCCTGCACGATGGGGCTGCCCGGGAGATGGAGCACGGAGCAGCCGGCTTGGGCCGGCACAGGGGGAGAAAGGGTATCCCACAAACAGAGAGCACCCGTCAACAGCAAGAAGGCAGGCCCGGGGAGAAAGAGGGGGAGCAGAGGTTGGGAGTGCCCAGGCCAGCCTGGGATGGACGGCACGGCAGCGCGCGGGGGCCCGGCCGGGGGTGGGGGTGAGAGCTCACGGTGTTGATGCAGGGCAGCTCCTTGTTGAGCAGCCAGGGCAGGGCCAGCGTGCCCTCCCCACGGTAGCAGGACTGGATGCGGCGCCGAATATGGGCATTGATGTTGCTGAGGGTAAAGAGGCAGAGGATGGTCTGCCGTGGCGGGCTGGCGCGGTTCTTCTGGCCCTGAGAGAACACGGTGAAGAGGATGTCCTCGTCAGGCGGCACGCCCAGGGCCTGGGCCAGCAGCAGGCCGGGCTTGGCCAGGTGGGCACTCTGCACCAGGCGGTACTCCACGCCTCGCCAGGAGCAGCCGATGGGGAACTCCACATACGAGTAGAACTCCGAGTCCCCGGCGCACATGCGCACGATCTTGGACGTGAAGAATTTCTCGCCCGCCGTGTCCAGCAGCGTCTGCTGGGTGTCCAGCTGCAGCGTCAGGAAGTACACGAAGGAGGCGCTCACAAAGCCGTAGATGTAGTAGATGTCAAAGGCGGGGTACAAGGACAGCGTGTCTGAGGGGATCTTGATTTGCGAGGAGACAAACTCGTCCTGGTACACCTGGGGAGCAGGTGGAGGGGAGCGTGGGACGAGGCTCCCACAACCCCACTTCAGGCCCCCCCGCCGCCCCGGGCTTCCGTCATGCCCCCACCCTGCCCATATGCTCCTAGGAGCCCAGCCAGAAAGGCCACAGAGGGCAGGGTGAGCAGCCCCATCCTGTGCCCTAGCCCGGCCTCCCGGCCTCAGCCACTCGTCTCCTCTCGGATCAGGACAGGGTGAAGGCAAGGAGGGCAACGGGAGCCGGCTCTCGAGAGGGCTGAGAGGACACACCAGGGGAAGAGGGCCTGGCCACCGGCCCGAGAAGGTGAACCGGCGAGTGGGCTCACCCACCAGACTGAACATGTCGGCACTGTCCTCGTCGCTGATGAGCTTGCGGGAGCTGAGGGTGGGGAAGTACTCGGACTTGCCGTCCACAGCGGTGCCCACGAACAGCTTGCTGGGCCCCTGCCCCTGCTCCACAATGACGCCGGCCATGGAGTCAGGCTCCTGAGCCCCTGACAGGTAGTGCTCCTTGCGGTGGTGGGGCTCACCCAGCTTGAAGAGGTCGTCCAGGCGCAGGAACTGGCAGATGCCCTGCCAGATGCTGCCACAGGCCACCAGGCGGCGGGCCGCGTAGTCTATGAGCAGCAGCTTGTTCACGTTGTCTACAGGTGCCAGGCGGTGGGCACACACTCGCATGCTGGGGGGTGGGTAGCAGCGAGCATTGTCCTCGACAGGCCCCGTGACGTGGGCCCGCAGCTCGGTCAGGTTGGGGGCCAGCTTGAAGATGCGGTTCACTGCACCCACAAACACCTCCCCAGTCACCCGGTGCACGGCCAGGTGCGTGAGCGTAGTGTCTGTCACCAAGAAGGCCGGGAAGGGCCTGCTGTTGTCCACGGCCCCCGCCAAGGCAGGGAGGACCAGCAGGAGGAAGCAGACAGCAGGCATGGCCAGCAGCTGCACCCGGGCACAGGCCTGAGGGGAGAAAGCAAGTGCGAATCAGAGGCCCTGGCCCAGGCTGCCGGCCTTCCTCCTGCCCCACCTGGCCTAGGGCCCCCAACGGGCTGAGCACCGTGCCACAGACGGTGGAGGCCACTCATCCACCCCCAGACCAGAGTCCCAGATGGTGACTGTGGCCTCCACCAGGGCGCATGAGCGAGCAGCCGGCACAGGCAGGCTGGAGGGCCATCAATCATCCCCCAACCCCTGCTGGAAAGGAGCCAGGAGGCCTCCCCTCAACTGGGCCACACCCAAGAGGGGGCAGCAGAGCCAGATGCTGGGAAAGGCAAGGCGGGAGGCCCTCCCAGAATGAGATCCCAAACACCGGATCCCGGAGCTGAGGGTGGCCAGCCACATACAAGAGGTACTGTAGGCAAGCCCCAGGCCACAGAGACACCCCACGCCCAAGTCGGGGGATGGGGAAAGGCAGAGAGTGAACAATCACAAGTGTGTGTGTTGGGGAGGGGGGAGGACACCACTCCAGAGTGGCACTGCCACCAGGAGACCCAGGTCAGACGTCGGAGGCATAGGTCTGAGAATGGACCCGGCGCCATCACATCCCCAGTCCTGGCCCCAGCTGCCTCCTCGCCCCGAGGGCCTCCCTCAGCTAGCTGTCCAGGAGCCTGCTGTCTAGCCTACCCACTGCAACACAAAGCCGAGTTGTGCCTGCCCCCACAGCCACGCGCCAAGACAGACATAAGTCAGGCTCTGCTCGGGCACAGCCAGACAGATGGTCCAGGTAGCCCTGTGCAGCTCTCCCTCCAAATCCAGAGGTTCGCTGGGGAAGGGGAGGTGTTTGGGGGTACAAGGAGCCCAATGGAAAGGAAGCAATGTCCCCAAATACAGCAAGGCCTTGGGGAGATGGGGCGGGGGCCGTAGGGACAGTGCCCAGCTTGGCCAGGTCTTCGCCCCCAGGCCACACCCAGGTTCCCGGCCAGCTCCAGGCCGCAAAGCAGTGTCTCTGTACCCCAGCCCCAAGGGGGACACAAGGTACCCAGCTTGGGGAGAGCAGGGAACCAAAGTAAGAAGGCATATAAGATAGAAAGGAAAAAATGCATTTGCTAGAACAAGGAACAGGCCCTGCTTGAAATAGCAGAGTTTCAGCTCAGACTGATCATCTCTCTGGGGCTCTTTTGTCAGGTCTGCATCCTGGACCCCTAATGCAACAGCCAGAGAAGAAAGGGAGGCAGAAGAGAAGGGCGGGGGGGGGGGGCACATCCCACCCTAACCTCCTCCACACCCCGCAGGAATACAAGCCTAGGAATGGAGATGGAGACAGGTTGGGAGAGAGACCTGGAAAGGCAGGATGTGCAACCCAAGCCCCCATCCCAACCTCCACCTGTAAGTGGGAGCCTCAAGCATCACAGGCACACCCAGCTGCTCTGCTACGCCGCTGCCAGCAGAGAGCCCGAGGAAAGGGACAGTCCCTCACAGAGATGCGCCTCCAGCGCCCCACTCCCCAATGCCCCCCCACCGTGCTGATGGCCTGGCTCGCCCTGCTCCCACCAGGGGCACCCCTCGGCCGACCCACGAGTACCTAGTGGATGGAGACGCCGCAGCAGTCCTTGGAGGGGCCGCTCCTCAGCCACAAAGGGTCCCCATAGGGCAGGGGAGCTGGGCTCAGACCGGCGGTCCTTGCTGGCGCTGGGCACGAAGGACCAGTCGGGCCGGCGCCCGAGATGCAACACAGAGGCAGGGCCCGACCCCCTCAAGGCCGAGCCCAATCCCCGAGCTGGCCGAGCCCCGGGCCGCCGAGCCGGCTGGCTCCGCACGGGCGGCGGGCTATGGAGGCCACCTACCTACCTGTCCCTCCGCTGCCGCTGGCTCCGGGTGGCCGCCTGCCAGCCACGTGGACGCGCCCCCGAGCCCCACACCGGCCCCACTCGCGCGTCCCCGCCGCCGCGCCCCGTGCGCGCCCCCGCCGCGCCCACACACTGGGCAGGCCCGCGGCCGCCGGGGCCTTTTAAACCCGGACCGTACCACCGCGCCGGGCGGGGGCGCCCAGGGAGAGCCGGGTGGCCGGGCGCGCGGGCGGGGGCCGCTCCTGCCCCGGGGCCGCATGGAGGCCAGCGCGCCGCCCCGAGCCCCAGGAGCCACCTGGGTCCCCGCCCAGCGAGCGGACCCCCCCCCCCGCCTCGCACAATGGCCGCGTCCGCGGGACGCGCCTCTCCCCCTCCTCCCCGCCCGCTGCCTCCGGCAACCTTGGGACCCGCGCGCGCCCGCGCCACACCCCCCTCGGGCCCGGCGCGCGGCTGCGCCGGCGCACAAGCCCCGCCCCGCCCGGGCGCTCAGAGGCGCGTCCAGGGCCACCTGCTGCCGGGGCGCAGCCGCCCCTGTGTCGACCTGTCAGGCACGCACCGGTGGAGGACGGCGCGGCCCTTGCTCAGGACACTCTCGCCCTCGAGGTCCCTAACCCGGAGGGCCCGCGGCTGATACCAGGCAAGTGCCCAGCACAAGGGCTGGAGGCTGTCAGCCGTTTACACCTGGCCCCTCACCCAGCCGACCACCGCGGCCCTGAACCCGGAGGGTTCATTCCCCAGCTTTCTTTTTCCTTTTCTTTTTAAACAGCTTTATTGAGATAGAATGCACCTATCACATAAGTCACTCATTTAAAGTGTAACACTCAATGACTTGTAGTATATTCACAAAGTTGTGCAACCATCTGCACTATCAAGTTCCAGGACATTTCGTCACCTCCCCAAAGAAACCCCCATACTCCTAAACAGTCACCCCCCACCGTCCCCCTTCCCCAGCCCCTGGCAGCCACCAATCTACTTTCTGAATATGGACATCTCATATGAATGGATTCATACAATACTCATGTGTCTTTTGTATCTGGGTTCTTTCACTTTGCCATAATGTTTTGAAAGTTCATCCATGTTGTAGCATGGATCAAGACTTCCTTTCTTTTTAGGGCCAAATAATATTCCATTACATGGATATATCACATTTTATTTATCCATTCATCAATTGGTGGGCACCTGGGTCGTTTCTACCTTTGGCAATTGTGAATAATGCTGTTAGGAATATTTGTGTACAGATTTTTATGTGAACACATTTTCATTTCCTTTCCACCTAGGAGTGGGATTTCTGGGTCACATAATAACTCTATTTTTAACATTTTGGGGAAAATGGCCAAAGAGCTTTTTCCAAAGTAGCTGCACCATTTTTACATTCCCATCAGTGGTGTATGAGGGTTCCAATTTCTCCACATTCTGGCCAACCCTTACTATGTGATTTTTTTGTTTCTAGCCATCCTAGTGGGTGTGAAATGATACCTCATTTGGATTCTCATTTCCCTGATGACTAATGATGTCGAGCATCTTTTCATGAGTTTGTTGGCCATTTGTAGATCTTCTGTGATATACAAAGCAATCTGAAACGTCTATTCAAGTTCTTTGCCCATTTTTTAGTTGGGTTTTGCTGTGTTGTTGTCAAGTTGTGGGAGTTCCATATATATTCTGGATATTAATCCCTTATGATTTGCAAATATTTTCTCTCATTCTGTGGGTTCTCTTTTCATTCTCTTGATAGTGTCCTTAGATGCACAGAAGTTTTAAAATTTGATGTCATCTAATTTGTCTTTCATTTGTTGCTTGTGCTTTATTGTCATATCTAAGGAACTGTTGTTTAATCCAAGGTCAGAAAGATTTACCCCTATGCTTTGTTCTAAGAGTTTTATAGTTTTCACTCTTAAATTAAGGTCTCCAGGGGTACCTGGGTGGCTCAGTCAGTTAAGTGTCTGCCTTCGGCTCAGGTCGTGATCCCAGGGTCCTGGGATCGGACCCCACATCAGGCTCCCTGCTCAGCGGGCAGCCTGCTTCTCCCTCTCCCTCTGCCTGCAGCTCCCCCTGCCTGTGCTCTCTCTCTGTCAAATAAAATCTTTTTAAAAAATTTAGGTCTCTGGTCCATTTTGGGTTCCTTTTTGCATATAATGTGAGGTTGTGGTCCAACTTCATTCTTTTGCCTGTGGCTGCTATGCCCTTTGTTGAAGAAGCTACTCTTTCCCCATTGAATGGTCTTGGCCCCCTCATCAAAAATCAATTGACAGTAGATATATGGGCTTATTTCTGGGCTCTTTCAATTCTGTCCTGTTCATCTATATGTCTGTCTTTATGCTGATATCACACTGTCTTGATCACTGTAGTTCTGTAGTAAGTTTTGAAACTGGGAACTATTAATACTCCGAATTTGTTCTTTTCCAAGAGTGTTCCGACTATTCAGTGTCCCTTACACTTCCATAGGAATTTTAGGATAAGCTCATCAGTTTCTGCAAAAAAAAAAAAGATCCAGTGGGAGTTCAATAGTGATGAAATTGAATCTGCAGATCAATTTGGGGAGTGTTGCCATCTTAATAAGATTAAGAGTCTCCATCCATGAACATGGGATGTTGATTAATTTTAGATGTTTATTGATTTCAACTTGGCTAGGCTGTAGTCCCCAGTTATTTAATCAAACACTCATCTAGGTGTTGTTGTGAAGCTATTTTGTATATGTGGTCAACATCTACAATTGATTGACCTTAAGTAAAGAATGCCCTCCGTAGTTTGTGTGGGTCTCGTTCACTAACTGAAGGCCTTAAAAGCAAAAATTAAGGTTTCCTGGAGAAGTAGAAATTCTGCCTCAAGATTGTAACATAGAAATCCTGCCTGAGGGCGCCTGGTTGGCTCAGTTGGTTAAGCGATTGCCTTCGGCTCAGGTCATGATCCTGGAGTCCCGGGATCGAGTCCTGCATCGGGCTCCCTGCTCAGCAGGGGGTCTGCTTCTCCCTCTGACCCTCCCCCCTCTCATGTGCTCTCTCTCAAATAAATAAATAAATAAATAAATAAATAAATAAATAACGAAAGAAAGAAATCCTGCCTGAGTCTCCAGCCTACTTGCCTGCCCTGCAAATTTTGGACTTGCCAAATTGCCAGCCCCCACAATTACATGAGCTAATTCCTCAAAATAGATCCTCTGTGTGTGTGTCCTGCTATGTTTCTCTGAAGAACCCTGACTAAACAGATGTTTTTCTGTTTATTTAGGTCTTCTTTAATTTCTTTCAATCATATTTTGTAGTTTTCAGTGCACAAGCCTTGTACTTCTTTTGTTAAATTTATTCCTAAGTGTTTTATTCTTCCTGATGCTATTCATAAATGGAATTAATTATTTTCTTACTTTCAGTTTGGATTGCTTATTGCTAGGATATAGAAATACACTTGATTTTTGTCATGATCTTTTGTCCTGCAACTTTGCTGAACTCGTTTGTTACCTCTAATAGGTTTTTAGGGGATTTCCTGGGATTTTGCAGATATGAGATTATGTCATCTGAAAATATAGTTTTACTTCTTCCTTTCCAATCTGGATGCCTTTTGTTTTCTTTTGTTGCCTGTCATGGCCAGACCCTTCAGTCAAATGTTGGCTGGGAGTGGTGTCTTTCCTTTTAATTTTATAATTTGGAATTATTTCAGACTTGCAGAAAAGTTGTAAGAACAGTTTGGGGAGCTGTCATGTGCCCTTGACCCAGATTTGCCCAGAGTTCATATTTTGCCCCATTTGCTTTTCTCGCTCATTCGCTCCTGCCCTCCCCCACCTCTCTCCTAGATGTGCATATGTATATAGTATATGCAACACTTCTTTTACATAAAAATAGTATGTTTCTGAAATGTATCAAAGTAAGTTGCATACAGCTTGCCCCTTTACCCCTAGATATTTCACTCTGTATTTTATCACAGTAAAATTACAATGTAATTCCTGCACCTTCTTACACTGAGGCAGAAACATCAATGGTTTTTCTGATCCAGGACCCAGGCTAGGTTCCCACATTGCATTTAGTCGTCACTTCTCTTTAGTCCCCTTTAATCTGGAACATTCCTCTACTTTCCCTGGCCTTTCACGACATGGACATTCTTGAGGAGTGCAGGCCAGGTATTTGGTAGAATGTCCTTCAGTTTGGGTGTTTTCTGATGTTTTCTCATGATGAGATTCAGGCTGTGTTGCGAGGAGAACCATGCTCCCTCCCCCATGAGGTTGGGCCCTCTCCGTGCCTCTTTGCTTTGTCCCTTCACTGTAATGTTCACTCTGAGCGCTTGGTTAAGGTAGTGGACTGCCAGTTTCTCAAGTGGACAGTTACTATTTTTCCCTCTGTAATAAAAAAGTAGTTTGTAGGGGGGCACCTGGCTGGCTCAGTCAGTAGAACGTGCAACTCTTGGTCTTGGGGTCATGAGTTCGAGCCCCACGTTGGGGTGTAGAGCTTACTTAGAAAAAAAGTAGTTTGTAGGAAGACAGTTTGAAACTAGGTGAATATTCTGTTCCTCATCAAAATGTCACCCAGTCATTGATAATTCTTCCTGCATCACTGGTTACTCTTATGGCTGCAAGAGTGATTTTCTTCCTCCACGATCCCTCCTACGTTTATTTGTTGGCATTCTGCCCTCTGTTTATCTATGTATTCATCAGCAGTATGGACTCGTGGATCTTGATTTTATTCAATGGATTATAATCCATTATTGTTAATTCATTTCGATGCTCAAATTGTGTCAGCTTTGGTGCCTTCTTCAAGCTGGCTCCTGTGCCCTTCATTCTTTAAGTACTTTAGTACTTTTGGCTTCTTGGCCTTTCCTCACCCTCATCCTGGAATGAGCCATTCTTCCAAGGAGCCCTGGTTCCTTTAAGGAGAATAACATTTAGAAACCAAGATATGGGGGTGAAATGTGCTCATTGCCATTGGGGTGTCATGCTCTTAGGCACTTTCAGTAGGCAGAGCGAGGATGTCTGTTTGTCTCTCTCTCTCTCTCTATGTGTATATATATATATATGTGTGTGTATATTTTGTATTACATATAATGTATCTATATGTACATCTATATAAATCTGGAGGACATACGGATACTTCTCATTCCAATTCCACAATAAAAGTTCTTAGCCTTTCTCCAATCTATATTCGTATCTCCCTTCTCCAGTAGTGGGAGACAGAGACCTAGCCCCCAACAGCATCAGTATATTGACTCATTTGCTTGACCCTCCATGGACAGAACTTTCACAATAGCTGCACCCATATCCCCAGGACAAATAAACCTACTAAGTGGAGTTTAGGATTTATTTGCAAGATTTTGTTGTTTGGGGTCTTCTGTCTAGTCTTAAGACAGAACTATAATGTAAGAATGCTGTATTTAAATTTGCTTGGCTAGACTTTTTTTTTTTACATTTCCCTTTAATATGGTCATGTTTTTCATGTGAAATACTCTTGCGATCATTTCTGTTTGTATTCAGTTTTA